TCACTTCATATTTTCTAAGAACAATCATTTTGCCCGTGATTGCGTCATGTTTCTTCCTTTTTAATTTATCACAAAAATACATTGAACCAATCTACATCTAATTATCAAACATTGGTCATCCACTACCGTCCGATCCGTAATTTTAACCTCCTGAGGGGCACAGAATGTTATTCAGCCCATGGTATATGATAAGGACTAATTAATTAAGATACCAAGGTCCTACTCACGGGCCATATCTATTTTTCTTTCTGAAAGGTAGGGTAAATAGGATGAACCACGTGACTTCACACCCAGCACCCCTACAACAAGGCTATGGTAAACAAAGCCTTGGGATAGTGTAGGATAAAAGGTAAAAAGCCATGTTCTCTAGAAAAACAAGCAGATCGGACAGAAAATGAAAGGTTTTTTGGGTATATAATCGGGTCGAACATACATACATACATGCACCACAAGCTAAACTTCACCATTTCCTACTTTTAGCTTACATGCCTTCCTTTCTATCAAAGCCACCAACACGGATTCATGCACTGAATAAAAAGCTTATAAAGCTAACACCCAGTTGAGACATCAAAATATGGCAGACACACCCTCCTCACTAACAGGTATGATATCATTCAAAGGGATGAATTAATGGATTTGCCGATGGCTGAAGGAACTATCACGTGGTCGAACAATCGGGAAAAGGCAACTATATACTAATAATATGCTAAATATGTCATAAATCTACTATAGCTTGATTTTTACTATTGACTAATATATAATGTATTATAAAATGCATCGTTTTAATTTTAGGGATAAATTATACATTTAGTACCTAAATTATCAGTTTTGATTAGTTTTAATATCTAAAGTTTTATTTTTTTTCAAAATCATACCTAACATTTAGTTTCACAGGAAAGTTTTTAATGAGGCATATAGTTAAGGTTTGTTTTTTCTAATAAAATGCTATTATTGAGCAAAATTAAATAAATAAATAATTAACCTAAATACAACACTAATTATAACATAATCAATAATATAAAAAGGCAAAAGGGTAAGTTTTGTCCCTATAGTAGACCTAATTTATTACTTTCGTCTATATCGTATTTTCACATCAATTTAGTCATCGAAGTTGCTAAATTCCATCATTTTATACCTACCCCTAACTCAAAACCCTAAATTATAAACCTTAAACCCTACACTTTAACTTAAGGTTTATGCCAACATTGAGGATAAATTGATGCGAAAATACGATAGGGCGAAAATGATAAATTGAGTCTACTATAGGGACAAAAGTAACCCTTAAACTTATAAAAAAAAACACTTTTTTTCTCCTAAAGAAACCCATTATGTCAAATTCTTTCTTAAGAAACAAAGTTTATATATTGTGATACACTGGTTCTGAATTTATATAAAAATATCCTTGAACTTCTATCGAATATGTAATGTGTTATTGAATTTATTTTTTATATGTAAATAGAAGTCACTAATTTTATTAAAAAAATAAAATTACAGTGAAAGTTCACAATCATAATTAGAACATTTCCTATAACTACAGATACAAATTGAGCCAAGAAGAAACAATCAAGTAAGGCTCGTAAGGCGGTGAAGTTGGATGTGAGTTTTGCATCTCTTTCGAATTCAAATTTTAGTAATCGAAAGAGAGTAATGTTAAAGGAAGCAAATCTAGCTTGTGAGTTTGCGAAAAAACTTGGTTTTAGTATTGAGGGAGACGGACAAGAAGTGTTTGAACTTGCTAGATTGTAGTGATGTCTTGTTGGTGAGCGTTTGTAGTGTCGGTTTATACATTGGAGCCAGGCCCGGCCCTGAGGGTAGGCGAGGGGGGCGACCGCCTAGGGCCCAGATTTGGAGGGGTCTATTCTTATGATATAACATACATGTGTTTCACACACTTATGATTTACCATTTTAACGAGCTTATGATTTATCATGCTTGTTTCTGACATTTCAACGGGATTCAACGGAGGGGGCCAGGTTAGGAGGCCCAAGTTATTTTCCAATTTTCATTGATTTTCCAATCTGTTTCTGAATACGGCATGCTTTTGTCCGCTCCACTATACACTAGGGGCCGTTATATTTTATACCATGCTTGCACCCATTTTTTAGGGCCCTTATATTTTTTTGTCTAGGCCCCTTAAAATATTAGGACCGGCCCTGATTGGAGCTGTTATGATCAGCCTTTGGTGTGGGTTTTAGTTCGAATCAGTGATTGTTGTTGCCATGAAGTTCTTTCTCCAATGTTTTTTCGGTTCATTTGCTTAGGGAGTTGGGTTTGATGTTTGGTTGTGAGTCATCCAATGAGTTTCTAGTTGAGATAATTGGATCAAGTCTTTTTTGGTTTCTCAAGTTTTCTTGTGTGCTCGTGTTTTATATTTTCAAATAAAGTGTGGTCATTTTTTTGGAGATTGGGAGTTATGTCGGATGAGGATGCTTTAAATACGATTTTTGCTAGATTCTAGTAGGGCTTGGCTAGTTGTTTTTCAAATATGAGTATTGTCGTTGTACGTATGCTTATATCGTGTTTTGGTGTTTCATTTGCTTTAGGCATTATTTTCCTTGAGGTGTAATCGAATGATTGTTCTTGTTTTTTTTTCTTCTTTGAAGCAACAATTGACATTTTTTTGGCATTTGGCTAGTATTAATTTCCTAAATGAAATTTAATTTTATTGTGAAAAAATCATAGCCACAATTACTTGAAAAGATTGAAAGTCATAAAAAAAACTCAAATAAAATATAGATACAAAGTGACCTAACTATATTGGTAAATAAATCATAATAGAAGATCAAACTAAAGACCATTGATAATCGCAAATAAAAATAGAACGTCGTGAGAAAATTGTCCACAAACACAATATGTGTATCCAAATCCACTCTAAGGGTACAAAACATATAAGATCAACAAGATAACAAATATGTGACATCTAGATCAGTGGGGTAATGTCCAGGGGCAGAACTTCATGGGTCAAGGGGAGCCTTGGCGTCCGTCAATTATATTTTTAAGTATTAATTAATATTAAATATATATATATTAAAAAATTATATTTATGGAAATTAAAATCTCTGCTATAATAAATTCTTAATACCACCTCTGGTGATGTCAAATCTAACCCTTAAAGAATTAAATAAAAAAGAACGATCATATAACATATAGAAAAGATGTAAAACGTGTCGAAAGAAAGAAAAAATATATCATAAAAATAGAGAAAATCATAACATGAAACCAGAGTTATTAGAAATTAAAAAATAAAAATTAAAGATGTGACATGAAAAATAAATTGAAAGCAAGGAATATTAGCATTCGATAGTCAACCAACGTTTCTTTTTAAATTTATATCTATACTTTTTAATTTATTTTATTTATGATTATGAATCTATTAAGTGTTCTCAATAGTTTGACGAACGTTAGTTCTTTTTTTTTAGATTTTAGGTTCGAGCAATTACGTTTACAGGTGTGTGCGTTTTCAATGATTACGTAAGATTATGAATGTATACAACCTTATAATCAAACCAAATTATTAAAAAATAATTATATATAATTATAAAAACAAAATTTGTATATTGTTTTAATATTTATCCATTTAAATTTTATTTAATAATCTACTATTAATAAAAATAAAATCTTGATACGACTTAAACATGTACTGTCTTAGTATCAATCTATATTAGCCGTGTCAAAGTCATATTAATAATTAATCGCAATTATTTTCTTTTTTCTCAGCAAATATAATTCATTATTAGTAGAAATTAAAGGCTATAATACCTGCATAAAAGGAAAATGATAAAATTGTACGACTTGACAATACCAATTCACGTCATTACAAATAAACAAACAAAAACATATAACAATTTGATAGAATCACAAAATTAAGTATCTATAAATCAAAACTTATAAAAAATATGTTATTTTCAAGTCACCAAAATACTTTTATATTATATATATATATATTATTTTAATGTATAATTAGAGGTGTATAATCAAACAATCTGATTAAAAATATTAAAAATCTAAAGTTTGGAAATATAATTGTGTACGAGTTAATAATAGGTATATTATTTGGGTTTGAGAATATACTTAAGATAAATGAATTTAATATATTTATTGTTAGAGTTTGAGTCGAATTCAAAGTGACACAAATCAATTTGATTAAAATAGAAAACTTTATTAAAATATATTTATACTTTATTTAGTTTTCTTTTGTAATCAAGTATCTATCCCTATAAATAGATATTAAGGGTTAGAGTTAGATATCAATTTCTTTCACCAAAATCCTCTTGTATTTTCTTCCTTCATATTAGTGAAAATTTATCCTTTGCCCGTGGTTTTTCCTTTTTGGGGTTTCCACATAAATTCTGGTATTTTTTGTTTTTTCCTTTTCAATTGTATTTATTTGTTTTCCGATAATCATCGTTCCGATATTATAACATTTATATAAAGTGAATTAATTCGATCAGTGATATAAAAATTAACAAAAGATTATTTTAAGCACGAATCAAGTGACTTTAGTGATTAAGAAATTTTTGTTTTTGTTGAGGTTTTGGGTTCGAGCACTGAATATGAAGAAGTATGAGCGTTTAATGTCAAATGATTGAGAATTTTTAAACATATACTATCTTGTATTCACCCTAGACTAATAAAAATTACTTTAATAATATGTTTTAACTGATTCTCCCATTTAATTCAAAATTAAATTGCCTTGGTTCGTAACCAAAATTTATTTACTACTATTTACAACTAATTAGCGTTGAACAAAATAATAGATGGAGTAAAAAATTGAACCAAACCCAAAATCTGCTAAAACAAATAGAATTTGGATTTTTTTTATATTTTGGAGTTAATAACTAGAAATAGTTAATATTAGCTAGAAAACAAAAACAAAAATTGTTTGCCAACTTTGTCTCAAAGAAGATTGCTGTAACTAGAAATTTTAAGTTGGTTCTTTGCATTCACAAAATATATAAATAAACGATAAATAATGAAATGTAGAAACAGCAACGGCGTCCATGGCTGAAGCAGTAGCACCACGACATCCTCTTCCTCACGGAAGTGAAACACATGAAATTTGCCTGAGTTTCCCGTCCATGGTAAATTCCTATGGCATATGGGAAAGCCTGGCTTCTCCATCAGATATTTTTCAAGTATTCTTTACCTCTTTTAGAGATACAGATGCTCTTGATATTCGCAGTCACACATCTCATTTATGCCATCCTCAAGCCTCTTGGAATCACTTTCTTTGCCTCACAAATGTTTGTAAGTTGATTAATTACCTCTTTCCTTGCTATGTATATATATTTTCGGGTTAACATGCAAGCCAAGCAACCGGGACCCTAGGTTGTTTTGTGATGAATTTGTTTTGTGATTAATTTCTTTCGTGTGGACTAGGCCGGCATTATCTTGGGCCCTACAATAATGAAGAAAGCAGGAGGATTCACTGCCAAAGTGTATACTCAGGAAGTAGGTATTAAAATGCTTGATAATGTAGCGATCTTCGGTTTCGGCATGTTTTTGTTTCTGATGGGAGTGAAAATGGACGTCAAGATGGCATTTAGGACAACAAGGAGAGCCACAGTGATAGGCTTTGCCTCCGTTTTATGTCCTTTTTTGGTTGGTTTAATTGTTTACGAGGCCTACAAAAAACCTGATGAAACTATTGTGTTAAAAGTTGAACGCTTCTTGGGAATAACTGTTGAATCTTTAACAGCATTTTCGGTGGTCGCGTGCCTTCTCAGCGAGCTCAAGATTGTAAATTCAGAACTGGGGCGCCTGGCTCTATCGTCGGCAGCCATATGTGACTTGTGCAACTTAGTTATAATGTTCCTTATTACCTTCGCAAAAAATTGGATTTTGTTGCCGTCAATGGCGGTAAAGCAAGCAGGACTAATGGTTCTTTTCATCGTAGTTCTTTTTTGCGTGTTTCGTCCATTGATGTTTTGGATGATTAAACAAACACCGGAAGGAAGGCCGATAAATGAAGTACACATTACAATCATCTTGATGTTAGCTTTAGGGTGTGGCGTATTTACCCATTGGTACAATGAATCTCCTTTATTCGGTGTTTTTCTCTTTGGTTTTGCTGTCCCCGACGGACCGCCCATTGGATCTGCCCTGGTAGACAAGTTTGAGTGTTTCGCCAACGGTTTCTTTCTAGTGGTTTTCGTAACCACATCAACAATGAGAGTTGATCCAATGAAAGTGTTCACTCATGAGGCTGCAGTCGGATTTTCAATCATTTTTCCCATTCTGGCATTCATTACCAAGTTTATAACCTGTTTCGTAGCTTCATTTTGGAACACGACGACGTGGAGGGACTCATTGGCTTTTGCTCTCATCATGAGCAGCAAAGGCGTAATCGAGCTCTCCTATTTCACTAATTTCAGAGACGTTAAGGTCGGCACAAAACTAAAAATCTCAGTGATTTTGTTTCATTAAGCGCTAATTCTCTTTTTCATTTCTCCCCCAGGTGATCTCAGAGAAAACTTTTAGTAAGTTTTCCATTTTAATTCTAGTAAATGCAACTATAATCCCGATCCTGGTGAAGCACCTTTACGACCCCGTTTCCAGAAAACATGCGGTCCATCAGAAAAGAAGCATGGTGCACTTAAAACCCAATGCTGAACTCCGAATTCTCGCATGTATCCATACACCTGAACATGTCCAACCCTTGATAGACGTGCTCGATATCACCTGCCCTACAAAACAGAGTCCTAATTTTGTTTACGCCCTTCACCTCATCCAACTTGCTGGTCGTGACTCTCCGGTTTTTATAGCTCACCACAAAAATGGAGCGGTGGGTTCCTTTGAACACATTGTTGCTTTCAATCATTATGAGCAAAACAATTGGGGATTGGTCAAAGTAAATGCATTCACAGCAATCTCTCCGCCTAAACTCATGCACGAGGATATCTGCAATCTGGTCCTCGACAACCAAATATCCTTCCTACTTCTTCCATTCCATAGAAAGTGGTGTATTGAAGGTTCTGTTGAAGCTGAAAACAGTGTGATAAGGAACCTGAATCGCAACGTCCTGGATCGAGCCCCTTGCTCGATAGGGATTCTTGTTGACCGCGGGAGAAAACTGTCGTTGTCGAGGTCATCGTTTTACTCCATTGGCATGCTCTTCATAGGCGGCAAAGACGACCGGGAGGCTTTAACATTAGCTAAACGCATGGCCCGTGACCCTACCGTGAAGTTGACCGTCATCCATCTCCTTTCTGAAAAAGACCGCGGTAATGTCGACTGGGACATGATGCTTGATACTGAGATATTGAAAGGTGTCAAGCAAAATGAAGTTAGTAACATAATGTATATAGGAGAAGTTTCGAACAATGGACCGCAAACTGCGACTATCGTTCGATCGGTTATGGATGACTTTGACTTGATGATCGTCGGTAGACACTACGGGGTGGATTCGGTCCAAACAAAGGGTTTAACGGAATGGAGTGAATTCCCAGAATTAGGTATTATGGGAGACATCCTTTCATCCCCAGATTTAGTTAGTAGGGTATCTGTACTAATTGTGCAGCAACATCATGTTGTCGTAGGTAAACATTAGTTTTGCACAACAATACACATACATGTTCATCAACTTAAAAAATCCTATTCTCAAATCTCTCATTTTTCTAATACTTTGTCTCAAACAATACAATATAATTACCACAAAATTTTTAAGGTGATTATCATGGAAATTGAAGCTTGATTCATTGAAACTTTGGCTTTGCAAAATAATGACATTGGCAATATAACTTGAATTTGGCTTAACGAGGCATTAAATTTGTCTTTGCTGAGAGAGTGCTCTGATTAGCCTTAGCAGAGTCATTTCCAGCTTTATCAACTTCGATATTTTTAGTTCACAGAATAATACTTTATAAACTTCTTGTAAAAAAATCGAATATTCTCCCAATATAATCATATTTAAATAAAATGAAATCATAAAATGTTCTCAACATTCATAAATATTAAAAACACTATGGCAACCAAAAATTAAATAATTTTTTTGTAACGTTCACAAATAAAAAACCGTAAATAACATTCTTACAATATACATTGAAAAGTTTAACTAATTAAAATAAATTTTCATAAATATTTCCAAAAAAATCATAAATATATTATTATATATTGCAGAATACGGTCATCAGACAGAACAAAATTGCAACTAATAATTTGAGAAAATAAAAATAAAGATAAAGAAGACATAAATTTTACGTGAAAACCCCCTAAATAATATAGGGTAAAAACCACGTGCAAAGGTAAAAGAATTTCACTATGAGAAAATAGGAATTACAACTTCTCTAGATCTAACAATGAGAAAACAATGACAATTCTCTCTTGTTAAAAAGGAGAAAACAACTCTCAAGAAAACTCTCTAATTTCTCTAGTAATGGAAGAAAGTTGGAATGATTTGGGATGGTTTTGAAGTTAAAATGACTAGGGTATTTATAATTGAACTTAAGGACTAACCTTGTAAATAGTATACATTTTAGGGACTAAATGAATAATTTTTCTATGCCAAATTATCAAATAAATTGCAGCAGCAAATCTTGAATTTTTACTCTGCTATAATTCGGTGCATTAATGCACCGAAAATTACCTCACATTTTTTTACTTTTAATAATCTCCCACTTGAAGATTTCATTGTAACAATTATATCTTCAAATCATTCTTTCTACCTTATACTATTCATATTGCTTACGTCTCTAACAGGCCACAAGAGGATTAACACCAAGTAAATTTATCAGCATTGATCGCCCTTGTTATGAAATCTACTATGTTGTCTTTGGTATGAATTTTCTAGATATTTACCGTCCCTTCTTCCACCTTTTCACGAACGAAATGATAATTAACTCGTATGTGTTTTGTCCTTAAATGAAATATTGGATTCCTTGATAGATGCATGGCGCTCTAACTTTTTTAAAACAAAGAGATATACTCTTGATTTTGTCTGAGCTCATCCGATAGCATTTTCAACCAAATTGATTCTTTACTGGCTTGTGTAGCTACTACATATTCTGTCTTTGTTGTTAACGAAGCCACAACTGATAGCAGTTTTGAAACCCAACTTATAGCTTCACCAACAACTTTGAACACATATCTTGTAATAGATTTGTTTTTATCCAAATCCCCTGAATAGTCAGAATCGACATACATATTAATAAGAAAATTTGATCCTTCGTAACATAATGCAACATTTGAGGTCCATTTGATGTATCTTAGGGTCCTTTTCAATGCATTCCAATGCTCTTTTTCTGGATTCGCCATGTACGACTAATCACTCCCACTGCTTGTGCAATGTTTGGTCTTGTGCATATCATAGCGAACATTAAACTTCTCACTACTGATGCATATGGTACTCAAGACATCTTTATCCTCTCTTCTTTACTACTAGGACTCATACTGTAGGATAATTTGAAGTTAATAGGAAGAGGAGTAGAAATTGGCTTACAATCTTGCATGTTGAATCGTGATAAGATTTTTTAAGTAATTTTTTTGTGAAAGCCAAATCTTCCTATTACTTTTGTCACGATGAATTTACATCCCTAAAATCTTATTTATTGGTCCCAATTCCTTCATTTCAAATTCCCTAGCCAATTGTGCCTTCAAATCTTTAATATGATCTTTGTTGGGGGCCTGCAAGCAACATGTCATCCACATACAAAAACAATATAACAAAATCGTTATCACCAAATCTCTTGAAATACCTACAAGGGTCTGCATTAAGTCTATTGTATCCAAGGCACAAAATGAATGAATCGAATCTCTTATACCAATAAATCGGTGCCTACTATAGACCGTACATATATTTGTTCAACTTACAAACCAAGTTCTTCTTTTCTATTTCTTCAAAACTTTCATGCTGGAGCATGTAAATCTATTCTTCAATATCTTCATGAAGAAAAGTTGTTTTAACATCTAGTTACTCTAGATGTAAGTTCAATATATCACACATCGCCAAGACTACCTAAACTTTTGTTAGGCGAACCATAGGAGAAAAGATTTCATTGAAATCAATACATTCTTTTTGAGCATATCTTTTGACCACCAGTCTTGCACGATACCTCTCCACTTGATCATCAGAATTTTGTTTGATTTTGAAGACCCATTTGTTACCAATTGGCTTCCTTCCTTATGGTAGTGGCACAAGGTCCCATGTATTATTTTTATAAAGGGCTTTAATTTCTTCTTGTATCATCGTCATCCACGGTAAAACATCTGGACTATTTATTGCCTCTTGGATTATTGATGACTCATCGTCTTTTGTTAAAAGATAGTATGCAATATTTCCTTTTATAACATAATTTGAGTGCCAATTGAGACATCTTTTCACACGATCTGATTGACAAATAGTTGGAGATTCAGAACTCTCTAGTTTTTTTTCATCATGTGCTACTTCAGAAGAATCTCCTTTTTCAAACTCCTTTTCAACTTGTATATGTGTAGTCTCTGGCTTTTCTCTTTCAGTGCTATCATCTTCTTCTTTTCTTTTTAGTTTATCTTGTACAAAGATAGCATCCCTACTGATAATCACTTTGTGGGCAGTGGGATCCCACAAGCGATACCCATTACTCCAATAGCATACCTGAAGACTTTGCGCTTCTTGGATTTTGGATCAAACTTTTAAATTTATTGGGCATTGTACATCACGTACACGATACTTCCAAATACATGGAGGTTTGAATAATCAACTGGTTTACCATTTGTAATACCCCTAACCCATACCTGACCCAGATATAAATCTGAGGTGTCACATTTGACTTTTCAAAACTTGACTCTTATAAAAATCAGGAAAATATAAACTTTTATTAAAATAAAAGTTGTTAATTTGCACAAGTTAAACCAAAATAATACAAAATTAACCAGAGCATTCGTAATTCACAAATTTTTTACATGTCAACACACTTGATACAATAAAATACATACTTTGTCAATTACTTCTGATATGATCTTCTAGTAGGGTATGATGTCCTTGCAACTCCTAATTCTGATCTTCTTGTTTCTTGGTGCTTACGTGTAAACAACTTACACCCTAAGTCACATACTAGTGAGGCATAAAATGAACATGTACTGCTATTATTCTATCATAATATTCCAATTTGCATATAATTACTAAACTATCACATATATGTTCATAACATGAAAAAATGGAACTTAACTTCTTATGAGAGTTTCAGTTTAATTTATCTTTGATTGTCCATATACATTATTGAGAACAGAAGGTACATGAGTACACTGAGGTTGTACATGAATGTTGTCACCACAGTTCGAATAAATTCCCACTAGGGGCACTGAATATTTGTCCCGAAGGACCACTATATCCCGAAGGACCACAAATAATCCCTCGACTCTTGGCATGCCAATTATACCTACAGATCTCATATCATATAACATGGACTTAATTATGAGTATCTGTCACATTTGCAAATCACTTCTATCTTTCTCATATAAATACATCACATGCAAATATATGATCCTTTATCTTTTCATACATAAGTTAGAATTATCCTTTGAAGATGTCATTCATCACATATAATATCATATTAAAACATGAATAAATTATGCATGTAATCAATATAACCATAATAGTTATATATATGCATTTACATGAATATGAAATCATGAATTCAACTATAGGAGATATATTTATCACAAGTCTTATCTCCATACAACTCTATCTAGGGTATGTACTCACCTTAGCCTTGCTTGACTTGAATCGATTCTAGAACTTCTCTATCTCTCAACCGTTTTTAATTATTTGATTGCTCCAGAACAGAGTTACGTTCACTATATACATAATCATACATTGATACATATCAGATTCCAATTAGTATACTCTAATCTTTAATTTCTTAGATTAAAGGAAAGGCGAAATTCATTTTCTATTTAAAGTAGGTATCGGTACCCCCTATAGGGTATCGATACTTCCCCTATATAAGGTATCGATATCATGCCTAGGTATCAATACTCATATTGCATTCTATAATTTTTCATTCAAAGGTAGTATCGATACATTCCTTAAGGTATCGGTACCCTTGGTATCGATATTGTTCTTCAGGTATCGATACCCCTTGAATATCTTTCTTAATTTTACTCTTGAAGTATTGGTACGTGTTGAATGGGTACCGATACCCTTTGGCCAGAAATCACTTTTTATGCCCAAAAATTACTTTATTTTAGCTTAATTGCTTCATATTTCATCATCTTTCATATTATTAACTCGCATACACATGCTAAACTCACTTTCTACTCATTCAATACATACTTAACTTAAAAATCCACTTCTCTACATAATCATACTCAATTTTCAACATGTTCTAAATCCAATTCTAACACTTCATACTCCTTAATTCCACTAATGACAAGTCAAATTTAGTCTTGAAATCTAATTAATACCTTCCTATCAAGATTTCACTTATTTCTCTCTTTTCTTTAATCCCACATAACTCTCTTATCTTTGAATTTTAAGGTAACTTAAGCTTTCCTTAAGCTTAAGTATAATCTAAAGAGCAAAACCCAACTTAAATTTCAACTAAAAATCAACTAATAAGAAATCTCACATTT